ATTGATTCAAAGAAATTCCTTGTTCGGATCTCGTGATCTTGATACCCAGGATCACGCTTGCTTCTCCGAGGTCTTTCATATCAAAGTTATTGCATAACAATGATTTCATATCATTAATGGCCTGAATGTTTGATCCAAATATAAGTAGATCGTCTACATATAGACATATGATAGTACAAATGCGATTCTCAGATTTGTAATAGACGCACTTGTCACTTTCATTCACTTTGTACCCATTAATTATCATTAAGTTATCAAACTTTTCATGCCATTGTTTAGGGGCTTGTTTTAGTCCATACAGAGACTTATCTAACTTACAGACCTTGCTTTCTTGTCCTTGGATTACAAATCCTTCTGGTTGTTCCATATAGATTTCTTCTTCTAAGTCACCGTTTAAAAAAGTTGTTTTAACATCCATTTGGTGTACTATTAAGTTATAAATGGCTGCTATTGAAATGAGTACCTTAATGGATGTAATTCTAGTGACTGGAGAAAAGGTGTCGAAGAAATCTATATTTTCTCTTTGTCTAAAACCCTTGGCTACAAGGCGTGCCTTGTATTTCTCAATCGTTCCATCAGGTTTTAGTTTCTTTTTCAAAACCCATTTACAACCAATTGGTTTGCAACCCGGAGGTAAGTTTACTAAGTGCCAGGTCTTGTTAAATTCTAGAGAATCTATCTTATCATTAATGGCTTCTTGCCATAAGTCTGCATCCATAGATGACAGTGCTTCTTGAAGATTTATTGGATCTTCTTCTACATTATAGGCCGCATAATCGGGCCCATAGTCTTTAGCAACTCTTGCTCTTTTACTTCTTAGAAGCTCTGTTTCTACATTGTCGCTGCTTTCAGTGCTTTTTATCACAGGAATGTGACTCGATTGTGTGCCCCCACTATTTCTCGATTTGAAGGGAAATTTGTCTTCAAAGAATTCAACATCGTTTGATTCTATGATTACTCTGGCATTTAGGTCATAAAACCCGTATGCCTTACTGTTTGCTGCATACCCAATGAATACGCATTCATAGGCTCTACTAGCGAGTTTAACTCGTTTCGGATCCGGAATTCTGACATAAGCCAGGCAGCCCCAAGTTCTCAAATAAGACAAATTTGGTTGTCTTTTCTTTAATATCTCATAAGGTGAGATCTTACTTTTCGACTTGGGAACTTTATTCAGGACATAGCAAACAGTTAATAAAATTTCCCCCCACCAGTGAGGTGCAGCACCAGAATTTAACATGATTGCAACTACAAGTTCAGTAAGAGTCCTATTCTTTCTTTCTGCTTTACCATTCATTTCAGGAGAGTATGGAGCAGTCGTTTCATGTATAATACCATGTTCAGCATAAAAATCATTAAACAAGCTAGAGTCATATTCGGTTCCCCTATCACTGCGAAGTCTCTTAATCTTCTTGTTAAATTGATTCTAAATTTCAGTTACATACACCTTAAACATGTCAAGCGCTTCACTTTTATTCTTCATTAGATATACATATGTATAATCAGAGCAATCGTCAATAAAAGTGATAAAATAACGTTTATTATTTCTAGTTAAACTTCCATCCAATTCACATATATCAGAGTGTATAAGATCTAGGGGATCAGATTCTTTTATTATTGATTTATGTGAAGTCTTTGTTATTTTAGCTTGACTGTAAAATTCACATTTATTGGAATCATTAATATTTAGTTTAGGGATTAGGCCTATGTTGCTTGCATTAGAAATGATTCGTTTATTAACGTGACAAAGTCTACCATGCCAAATATTAAAATCACACAAAAAGTAAACAAAAGGAGAAGTTTTATTCAAATCGACATTCAACTTAAACTTGCCATCAGTGGCGTACCCTTTTTCCACAAAAATACCATTCTTAGTGATGGTGTACAAATCTGCCCCTAAAGTTTGACTGAATCCAGCCTTATTCAGAAGAAAACCAGAAACAAGATTCTTCCTAATTTCAGGAACATGCATGACGTCCTTCAAGATCAAAGTCTTTCCTGAAGTGAACTTCAGTTCAACAACTCCAATTCCAGCAACATTAGTGGTGTGAGCATCTCCCAACAACACTTTCTTATCTTCAATATTCATGTATGTCTTGAACATAGCACGATCATAGCAGACATGACGAGTGGCGCCGGTGTCTATCCACCAACCGTCACTTCCACCAACCATGTTGATTTCAGTGATCATGGCAATTAGTTGCTCATCAGTCAGGTTAACCTGTGTATTTGAGCCAGCTACAGGTTTAGGCCTGCTCCTACATTTCTTTTCCATATGGCCCGGTTTCCCACAATTGTAGCAAGAGAAAACCGGAGCCATTTCTTTGAGGTGGTGGCTGTTGCCTAGCAAACGGAGCCGATGGGGCCCTAGAGGGATTCCCATTCTTAGTTCGGTTCATAGCACAGCGGTTCTGATTCTTTAAAGGTTTGCCCGTAGGCTTCAGAACCGCACCAAACTTCTTTTTGTTGTCGTAAACAACTAAGACTTCTTCTTTCTGATCTTGTTTCCGAGCCTCCTCTTCAATTCGGAGGTGAGTAATCAGACTCTCGATTGAAAATTCTTTTGTTTTGTGACGAATTATATTTTTGAAATCTTTCCAACCAGGGGGCAGTTTGTCAATAATTACAGCAATTTGAAATTGTTCATTAAGGGGCATACCTTCTGTAATAATCTCATGAGCAATCTTCTGAATTTCGTGGCTTTGACTTTCCACCGACTTCTCATCCACCATCTTGTAGTTCAAGTAGCGGCTGACAGCAGATTTCTTCGCACCTGCTTCTTCAGTATCATATTTCCTTTTCAGAGCCTCCCATACCTGTTTAGCAGTTCTGTAGCTACTGTAGTAGTCGTACAGATCATCAGCAAGGCTGTTCAGAATGTGATTTTTGCACAGATAATCATTCTCGTGCCATAAGGCGATTTCTTTTCGGAGCTGCAGATCATCTGCTGCAGCCTTAGCTTTTGCAGCATCTGAGTCAGACATTTTGGAAGTCCCGTCTGAATCTGCAAGTGAGTTACCGTTAGGTAGTTCAGATGATGCAGAAGGGACAACCGGGATTTCCTCAGTCAGAACGTGGGCAACCTTTTTCAAAGTTAAGAAAAATTTCATCTTAGCTTGCCAACGTTTGAAATTGGAACCCTTAAACCTGAAAGGTTTGTCAGAGACCAAAGCGGCCGCAGTAGTACCGATAATTTCCTCAGTTGCCATGGCAGTTATGAAACCGTCTTAAAATTGTTGTTTTCGGATTTGAAAAAATAGAGTTTGGCACAAGGAAATTATCGGGACGAGTCGCGTACTAGGTCGCTTTCTTTAAGACGTTTCGCCGTACTGCCAAATTATGCAAAGCAGTCGAATTTACGACGACGCCTCCAGGATAAAAACAGCCCGTTCAAACAACTTACGATTATCAGTTGCACACTGATAAATCGCTCTAGAAATACACCTTTCAAAGTATCTGGTTAAAATAACCAGTCAAGAAAAGAGAAAAATTATAGATGAAGAGAATTAAGAAAGAGAAGAGGGAAATCAAAATTTATGAATTTGTGAAATCCGGAGTACCCACTTCTGAATTTCTACCCTGTATTTATAGGCAGCAAACTGCACCTGAGTGGGGAGAAATTCGTGGGGAGTGGAGAAAATGGTGGGAGACTGAGAAATTCGTGGAGGACTGACTGACCAATTATTTTCTTAATTAATTAATATTTATTATTAATTAATTTTCCACCGAATTATATTAATTAATTAATGATAATTAAATTATATAAATTCAGGTCCAAAAAATAATTCATCTAAACACTACTAATATTTTCATTCCCTTCAATGTGGGACTAAAATGAATCTTTTCAAATTCACTTCTATATTAGTTCTCACTTGTGTTCATTTATTGCTCATTAATTGTCAACAAATGTTTCCAATTCCCACTATAATTAATTAAAGTTCCACCATTAATTAATTAAAGTTCCAACAAAAAATTTTAAAGAAAATTTAATGTTAAATTGTGAAATAAAAGATCACTTATATTAAATATGTAGTAGTTTAAAATTAGTGTATTTTTAAAAATTGATAGACATTTATTTTTATAAAATAATATAAATTAAAATATATGAATATATATTGTGCAGATACGAGACAAAATGGATATTAAAGCACTCATACCCGCACTCATCTCCACTTATTTAATTAGTAAAATATATTGTTAGTAAATTTATGTCAGTATGTTTGTCTTAGTTTTATAGTATGCTGTCTTTTAGATAAATATCAAATGAATAATAAAAAGAGAAGTAAATATCAAATGAATAATAAAAAGAGAAGTAGAAAATAAGAAGAAAAAACTTAGAACAAATAGACAGTAAAAAATTGTGCAAAGTTAAATATAGAAGTAAGAAGATTGAAAACAAAAAAATTTGATGTATAATTGAGAACATCGAGTTTCTATTTTACTGGGAAAAAATGCTGAGACTGCAGCTGCTATAATGCCGATTGAATCGTCTTAGTGTTTACTATTATAAAATTCTATACTACTATTTTCTAATTATGCAAATAAATTAAGCAAAAGCTAATTCAACGTACCACGAATACCTTCTTTTTTTACAAACAACCCATTTATTGCTACTACGTAAAATCTTGTAAAACAAAACAATAAAATGTTGAGATATAAACCTTGGGACGCTCTTTACATGATTATATCGAAAACGAGCTATGTAATTAGTCTAGATTTATTCATTCAGAAGTTATAAAAATTTGGAAGTTGATATGATTACTCCATGCAATAGGTGGATGGCTTCTCAAACAGTCTATTTTCGGGCATAAGAAATTCGCAAGTAAAATACTATATGTACGTGTGTAGAAGAAAAAATGGTGTGCTAATATTCACCTTAAAAACAAAAGGAAAACTAAAGTAAATAAACCTGCTCATAGCCTATTCAAGGGTATAAAATACAACAATGAGAGGGAAAAAATAGCTCGGACAACTTTTTGGAGCCTTGTTTATTTGTTTTCTCAACAGTTGACAGCAGTTTTTCCAAATGAAAACTGCAGCCTAGCCTTATCAGTTGAACCAAAGTTATACTCTGTGACTCCGGCATTATCATGAACTGTATTGCTTGTGGAAGGGAAGGAAAATACTACGGCTGGATTCGACTTTTTAATGCCAAAACTGTAGGACAATTGAGTAGAGTTTTCTTCTGATTGGTGCTGATTACCGGTAGAGAATAATAATGGCGTGATGGATGGGGTTGGTGGTTCAGAGAATACCGAAGAGCTAGCTGTAACAGGAAAGGTGAATCCCGAGCTGTTATCAGATGCTAAGGTCCATTTTGATTCAGGCTTCTTGATGGAAATAGGAGCTAAAACTGGTTTACCGGTGGCATTGTTTGCGAAAGTCTTCTTTTCTTGATTTACTACAGAAGGATACTGACCACCACCACTTGGGACAGCTATCGAATTATCCTGCACATTCAGTACATCAGAAACATTCCATTCATGAAATAATAGCAAGCCTTTTAATACATGTATTTCGATAATAGTATATTACTTCTAAAAACTCTAATGGCCATATAATAAATAGAGTACCTTGTCAGTAGACTTCATTGAAAACATTTGAGAACTACCAAAGTTTTGTGCAGTCCTTGCATCTTTGGCGAGTATGGGGGTGCTGCTGTGAACATTCAGGTCAGATGCCAAAGCCCTTTCTTTTGTGATGTCAACAGACTTATCAGTACTCTCCCTAGGTTGAATATCAACATGGCAGTTCCCTTCATTTTCATTTCTTAGAGTAGAATTCGTTCCACGAAGCTCGCCATATTTACAAGGGCTAGTGTGTTTTGGCTTAACCAAGCCATTATCTTCCTTGGAAAAGATAGTACTTGTATTAACAGAAAATTCAGGATTCTTCCATTTAGTTGCTAGCTTCAGCTCATCAGATTTCTGCTTAGGAGTGGGAATGTTTCTATCAATATGCTCTAATATCTTCTTAGCCATCAAACTAGTATGTGTGTGTACTGTTGGAACACTGCGTTCAAAGCCCAGTGGCTTCCGAGTGCTGCTCATCCCACCAGGATCCATTCTTGTGGCAACAATAGGACTTGAACGTTCAATCAAACTGGCATTTTCTCTCTGTGAATAATTCATAGATGAATATGCTGGTCTTCGTGAAGTCGATTGCACACCAACCTTATGCCTAGTTCGACGAATAGGTCCAACGGATCCATATCCACTTGCTGATGCACCAACTTCAGATTTGTCCTTTGTTTATTACAATTATGTTAGTAACCAATTACCAGCAGAAGGGAAAAAGTAATCAACCATTTTAAAGAATAAAATAAAACATTGAAACTCAAGTAATAAACCAGATTCAAATACAAGATAGTTAAATAAATAAATAAAATCAAGTGATGAACTTGATTAAAAAAGTTCAATTAGTTTGACAAAACTTGCCAGAATAAGGAAAAAACACAGGAAATCCCACTTTCATAATCATATTTGAGGTTTTAGACGCCCATTACTTGAGATATGAACTAGTTTCAATTTTAAGTATCAGTATATCTCATAAACTTTTAATTAGTCCGTAGGCAATAACCAAATAATTAATGAAGAAATCATGATCTTAACAAAAAATATTATGCCATAGAAAGCTGCATTATCTCCATTTTCCTCACACGGCTACTCCGTTGCAAAGGTACGGATATGTACCCGGTACCCGGTACGGAGCACGTCATTTTATAAAAAACCAAGGTACGGGTACGCGAGTATAAATCTATATGTACTCCGATTTCTCTCTACAGAAGATGAAGAACTTTGTTGTGCAAGGAGTTTCAATGCAATGGATTAAAGTTTAGCGATTGAAGATCTATAAGTTATCCACCATTCCTTTGGTTTCAAGATCCACCGATCTTGCAACAAATTAAATTGGCCAAACTCTACATCAGCACTTGAAAAGCCCATTAAAAAAAGTATAAAACTATACCATTAGAAGAAAAATTGAGTTTGCATACCCCATATGTACCCGTTGAGTACCAACTTATAAAACAATAAATAAAAAATAGGTGCGGTGTCGGTACGTACCGTACGAGTACCGTACGCGTACCGGTACCCGGTAAGTATCCGGTACCAGTACTTTACCTGAAATGGAGTACCCATGCTTCACAGCACGGCTATAAGTGTTAAAATCAAAGCAGGAAATTTTTTATATTTGGCTAGTGCAATCAAATATTTTGGTGGCACTTTGTGTTTTAAAATGATATCATAAGAAAAAACGAACTTCTAAACCCATTAATTTTTTAATAAATGTTTGTCAATATCATATATCTACAATCTCTTAACTCTTAACATAAGAAAAAGTCAAAAAACAAAGCAAGATATAGGAATACCATTGAACGGGAAAGGATCAAACTTCAACCAACTTTAACTTATATTCTATACTATCATCAATAAGACTGTTATGTAAAAATTTCAATATCAGCAATTTACAAGTTATTAAAGGAATCAGCATGCAGCAAGTCAAATACAATCATGATAACAGAACATTGATAGATACCGAATCAACAAGCGATAAGTCAAATACAATCAACATAACAGAACATTGATAAATACCTTCAGATACAGACTTGTCTGTGATTGACGAAGGGGAGTTGATGAAAAGCGGCTTTCATTGCCTTGGCTATGAATCAACTGAAGAAAAATAAAACAAAAACAACAGTTTTACTTTTAGATACAACTTGAGCATGGAAGTACAAGATATGCTACCTACAAAAACAAACCTTGGACTTAGACTTCATCAATAGAGTTCTGGAATAAGGAGTCCGTGCATAATTAATAAGCCCATATTTGCTTCCTTGACTTTGTGGTGTTGCATAAGCATCCTGCACGACAGCACCTGGCCAGCATGTTGGTGACCTTTTTGATGGTGATGGATCATATGATTTTATTGCAGCTTCATCATTAAGGAGCATTGTGCTTTCAACAGTTTGAATCTTGTTCTTAGAACTGGGGCCTACTTCAGATGCCCGGGAATCCATATATGCTCTAGCAATATCAATTGGTGAAGCACCAATTTCACCTCGGACCTGGAGAGTTGTAAATTTAACTATTATACAACAAAACTAATCCGAAAATGACTACATGTTTTACGATTCAACTGCATTCTTATATAATACAACTTTCAGGTACGGTCAAACTCAATCTTTCTTAAAATAAGACAGATTTGAATCTGAACATTTCACTGTATTTACAGGAATTGTTTAAATTAATATTTTACAATTCAAATGCATTATATTACAATACTGCTTTCAGGTAATGTCAAAATCAATATTGTGTGTGAACAAGGGGAAATAACAGTATGGTTCCTGAATTTTGGGAACAAATTAATTATTGTGCAACAGACCGACACACTTAAATAGGTGCATGGGCAATGGGCTACACTTAGTTTTGAAAAAAAATAGATTTTTAATACTTAATACACTAAAAAAAAACAAATGAAATAGATCTATATCATAGATTGTGCCTCCACTGTGTTTTGATTTTTTTTGTGCGAGGTGTTGATATAATAGTCTTTAAATGTATTAAAATTATAAAAAACAAACCTAAATGTGTTTTTTATTTCATATGTCGACTATGAAACTCTAATAAGAGGACACAGAATAATATAAAAAATAATGTATAAATGGTATTTATAATAACAGTCAAAACTCTTCCTCAGAATGATGTCATGTAACTAACTGAAGGAATTCAATTAGTTACTGTTGTGACATAATCAGGTAAATAAAATCTAATAGTACCCAGACTGTACCAGATACAGGTATGTAATCAATACGTGTAATCAGTGCGTGTACAGCTTTAATTTTGAGGTACCGATGCTACACATATTAACATGGATTAAACAGAATAGAATGTTGATATTAACTAGGATTCAGATCATTCTCTTGCCTCTCTCCTTTTTCTTGTTTAACCCTACCATAGATATCTAATAGATTGCAGACACAATTCAGCCCTAAGCAGATATCACCTATTGGCAAAAAATTTATCTATGTTGTTAATCCCAAATAGGGTCGTGTAGCACCAACTCCCTAAAATGCTATAGCGAATAGGTGCTACTGCAAAGACTAAAAACCAGGGTACAGATTAAATACTCAAAAATAGAAAAACACTCAAAATTGAAGAGACCGTACTTATTTAAAGAGTCTAACATACAAAGCAATAAAACTTAAACAATGAAGAACATAAAGGAATTGAACTAAGAGTAGAAAGAAGAACAGAACAATGGTTTGTGAACAAGAACATAACAGAATGAAGAATAGAACATTACTCTTAAAAAAAGATTTGAGAAATCTCTCCCTCAAACCCTAATAGCAGACGTGATAGCGGTTTGGCACAGCAATTACGGCCGCAACAGTCGCTATTGCTGACGGAGGCTCGTAGGCTAAAAGCATCGTACCAAACCCTATCACTGCTACGATATTTTGCTATAGCCCAAAAATAGGTGCTATTGACAACATAGCAATTTATAATAATTATTAGTAAATGTGAATAGTTCAAACAAGTACATGCAATGCTCACACACTTTTGACATGAAAGGTGTTGAACTTCCTCGTATGGCTCCATTTGATTCTTCATGCCTTCGTTCATTGAAAACCTTTGGAAGCTTGTGTGCCACTACAAGCCCCCCGTCATCTTGCCTAGGAGTCAAATTTGTGTTTCCTTGTTCAACACTAGCAACGTCAATTGCTCTTGAATTCAAAACCTCCACTAAATGATCGAATTCATCTCTACATGAGAAGAAGATTAAAGGTATTTAGATACGGTATATGTGTAAAAAGCAAACAATAAATGGTTTTCTTCATGAGGTTAACATTTCGAAAGAAAAGGAGGGTAATTTTTCATTTTTAAGTAAATACTCTCCTATTTGGATTTTTTAAAATGAAAGATTGACATGTAAGTATTACAGCATAACCGTTCAGTTGACCCTCATTCATTTTTATGCACTTTATAACACAATCAGAAATTAAAAAAATTAACCCTTGTTGCGCTCTTCATTCATTTTTATGAACTTTTATAACACAATCAGAAATTAATAAATTAACCCTTGTTGCCCTCTATCCCAAGCCCTCCACCCAAGCATACAGTAAAGAAAATACAAAATAGTAAATGCTTAGAGGTTTTCTAATATCATGAGCACACACACAGCTTCCGCAAGAGAACGAACTTCACTGAGGCATATCTTGATCCTGCTCACAACTTGATTCATTAAAATCTTTAATAAATGAGAATTTTGGCTTCATAGTTAAATGTGTCAAGAAGGACAGGTGTAGTGCTACTGCGCAGCACAAGTGTGAGTAATGTTCAAAACCTATGAAGCACGGACACCTCTAAGAGTAGGCGTGTCGGGGTGTCTAACACTTGTATGACAACCATACGTCACGTGTCAGAAAAGTCAGTCAAGTGTCAAAAAAGTCAGACAAGTGTCCCAAAAAAATAGTTCGATTCTTTGCTTTGATACTCTTTGAACCGGTGTCCGGCACTTGTATGACACTCATACAAGTATACAACACATATTGGCTATTTTAATACATTATTATTACCCTTAAGATTTTTTTGTCAAACTATATACATTCAGTTTTGATACAAATATCTATAAAAAAAATTAGTTTCAAATTTGAACTTAAATCACTGGAACTAAAAGGCTAGGTATTAGCCATTATTTTGTTAATCTGATGCCGAGCTAGATGTGGCACAAATAAGAGAGACATGCTTGAAAATATCATAAATTATGCAAGTAATATCCAAATGAGACTTTTTTGTGCTCTAAAAGATCCACATCCACGTGAGGAGAAAAAGAAGATACACAATGATAAAAAAATGGAGTTTTATCCCAGTGAAACTAACGTTGGCAAAAACATGACCAACTTTAAAAAATATATATTATATAATGAGTCACTCAACAAGGTGGAGAAATAAACTACTACAGTTATTATAAAGTTAATTACTGTACCTGGTGAATTTTTTCCCTCTCAACAGTTGCTCGATATCTGAAAACCTATCATTCTCGTGTTGTTCTCCTTTTTCAATGTGCCTGGGCAGAGCAGTGTCAAAACTGCTATCATCACCAATACTTGCCATTTTAGACAATTCAGATGGCAGGAGCTGCAAAGAAATAAGCATATTCAATGAATGGAAAGTAATCATATTCAATACCAAGAATTGAGACATAAAAAAAAAAAAAGTATTCATTGGAACAGGCAGAGATTCAAACAAAAAAATGAAAAATTTTAGGATGAAGGAAATGAGGAATATGGCTGAAAGGGATTGTCACAAGAGCATATTACGTGAATATCCGATAAATTATAATCTGTAACATGACAGTGATGGATCAGGCCATATATCATCACAAAAGTGAAAATGGAGAGTTACATATGATCTGCTTAGAAGAATAATTTATAAGTGTAATGACTCGAATTTTTAGAGGCAGTTTACTTTGTATAGCATAGTTCTTAATTCTGAATAGCAGCACCACTAGCCAATCCCAAAAATACTCTTATAAATAGGGTAAACGCACGCTGATTCTATGTTTAGTTGTAGATTTGACTGTAATCACTTGATTATAAATAACAAGGCTAAGAGATTTCTCTCAAGCAATTCAAATCATCTCATTCAATACTAAGTAATCACAATTGCAGCATACTAAGCGCTAAAATTATACACTAATTACAGAAGATGCAAAAACATTTCTTACATTTGAATTAGTTATGAGCAGATTATCTTCACTGTGCTGTTCATCAGCTCCAGGTTCACCTGTTGTCATTCAATAAAACGATCGAGAATATGAGTGTACCACCAATTTCAAGATTAAACAGAGGCAAAAATGAAAACAGAAATTAACCTTGATCTTCGTTGGAAGAGAATAACGAAGGAAGAAACCGAGTGGCTCCACCGGCGATGATGCGATAAGCAGGATCGACTAGCTTTGAAATCCATCGGCGGTTTGCGGTTAATGAGGGACGGGTGTAAGGACTCGCTGGTGGCTTTCTCGGCGGGGGTTTTCTAAGTTTGCCGCCGGCGCCTCTAGCGTCCGATAGTGTTGACGGAAAAGCTGTGATTTGATCAGGGTTGTCCATGGAATTGAGACTAAACTTAACTGAAAGAACGGCGGAAAAGTTTTAAAAGGAAAAAGAAGAAGAAGGTAAGGGCGAAAACGATGGTACCACCGGCAATAACACACATCCAAGGTCGAGTAGCCGCGGATTTTATATTTGTTTAGTAACAAACTAGTAGTAGACCCGTGCTTCCGCACGGGTAAATTCATTTTTAAATTTCATAATAATTTTATAATAGTGGATATATTCAATGTCATAAAAATACAATAATTTTTAATATTTGAAATATAGTATGTCCAACAAAAGAAATTTAGTAACAAAGTGCAAATAATATTGTAGATTGAAATGATGTAGTGAGACTTGTATGAAGCGATAGTGGAGATTACAAAACCTACAAATATAAAATAAAATCAATAAATAATGAAATATTAGAACTATCAAAAAAAAATATGAGATGTTGAAAGAATGAATTATATAAGCATGAAGTGAAATATAAATTTGAGTATCAAATTATTTTACTTGAAGCTAAATATAGAGATGAAGATTTTAGTATTGATAGTAAGAAAAAATAATCTTATTAAAAAACTAAATATGTACCTATATGACATTGTGGAAAACTTCTTTGAAGACCACATTTGTTGTTTGAGTTAAGTAGTTGTTGTCTTTGTCGTGTATTAAAACTTTCAATCCAGCTTTGCTCTTAACCCTTGAAATGGCAACATAAAGTTGTCCATGACTGAAAACATTCTTTGGCAAATATAATCCAACATAGTCCAACGATTGTCCTTGAGATTTGTTGATTGTCATAGCAAATGACACTATAATTGGGAATTGTCTTCTAATAAGTTTAAATGGCCATGGAGATTGGGAAGGAGACAAAGACATTCTGGGGATATAAATAATATTTCCAATATTTGTACCTGAAATGATCTTTGCTTCAATGACATGATTGCCTAACTTTGTAACGGTTAACCTTGTACCATTACAAAGGCCTTCAGATTGATCCAAATTTCTTATCAACATGATGATTGTACCAGCCTTCAATTTCAATGAGTGGTTAGGCAAACCGGACGTTTTTAGACAACTCAAAAATTCCAGTGTCAAATGCTCGAAAGCATAATTGTCATTAGCTTCTGTTCTATCAATGGAATCACAACTCTAATATTCTTTAGATGCACCTACATGAAATCAAAATTAAGTATTAATATATATATAACAGAATAACATGTATGTATACAAAATAGTAATAAAAAATAATATAGTAGTATGTACATATCAAAATAATATATACATATGTACATCGAAAGACACATTGTATGAAATAATAAGAAAATATAGTTATAATAGAAAATGAAGTATACCTGGAAGAAGATTAGTTATGAAGTCATTTATGTCATCAACTATTTCAATAGTTGATGCTAGAATAGCTCTACACCGAAGAAAATTTGGATCTGTGTAATTCTGAAGCAGATTTGGATAGGTACTTGAAACAATTGCTTCAATTGGGTCCACAAAATCTCTTATAAGTAACTCTTCAGGAATATCAATTTCAGCATATCCATCATTGGGTTCTGAGACCTTTCCATTACCAACTTGTAAAATCCAATCTGAGAAGAGTCTAATTTCTTCTGAATTTCCTAAATTAGAACCACTTTTCAAACGCATATTTTTGGTTAGATTCATTACTTTGCAATGATTCCAAATGTAAGAGGCATTTATTGTTGCATGTACTATATCTGATCTAGTACCTCTTGGAACAACCGGTAGAATTTGTCTGAAATCTCCACCAAAAATTACAACTTTTCCCCCAAAAATCTGCTGACACTCAACATCGTCATCACTCATAATATCCTTCAATGACTTATCAAGAGCTTCAAAACAATATTTATTTGCCATTGGTGCCTCATCCCATATTATTAGTTTTGTTACCTTTAAGAGATTGGCAAGATCGGAATTTTTCTCTATGTTACATATAGAAGATTCCAAACATGGAACTGGAATCTTGAATTTGGAATGTGCAGTTCTTCCTCCTGGTAACAACAAACTTGCTATTCCGCTAGATGCTACATTCAACACAATATCTCCTTTACAACGCAGAGCAGCAGACAATGTGTTCCACATGAAAGTCTTTCCTGTACCACCATAACCATATAGGAAAAAAACACCACCATTTTGATTTGTGACAACATCCATAACTTCTTTAAAGATTTTAAGCTGCTCATCTACAATAAAAAAAAAACACCACTAACGTTGTATGATGAAAACAATTTAAATAACCAAATCTGTGAAATTTTCAAATCTTGAGAACATAATGTCAACAATGACCATATCAATGTGAATAGCATTTATACTTATGTAGTTTTGTGCTAATAATTATAGACTTCCTTATAAGGCTCATTCGAGGAGATAAAATAAAAACATAAATTTCGGATATTGTTTCAATAAATAATTAGAATGTCAAATTATAAAAACAATACCTGTTAATGATTGAAACATAGTATGAAAAATTTCTTCTTGAACTGAGGGATCATATTGTCTTTCATCATATATCAATCTATTTCCAAGGAAGTCAAGGATGTAATCATTTGGATATGGCATAGGCTTAAATTCTTTCAAACTCCTTCTATTTTTCTGTAGTTGCTTCTCAATTTCCATCAAAGTGAGTTGTTGCACCTCTTCATCAGAAAAACTCAATTCTACAAATAAAGGTAGAAGTTAAGTAAGTATTGATACTTTGTTAAAAGGACCATGTATAGAATCCATAGTGTTGTGAGTAACATAGTTCTAAACAATAAGATGAAGAGGATAACAAAAAATATGTTGTTACAAAGAAGCAGCAAATATATAATAATCAAACCTGGATTTTGTGACAATATTCTTTGTTCATAAAGAATACCATCTGATAGGTACATCCAAGTATTTAACCAAACATGTTCTGGTCGATTCATTGAAGATGATAATAACATTGTAACAAACAGTTTGCGCAAAAATACTCCAGAACCCCAGTTATAAGCCTCTATAATTGCGTCAATGAACTCTTTGTCATCTTGTAGGAAGCCCAATGCAAAACATGCCTCTCTAAAAGTGTTGTGTTTGAACCCATCAATTGTCTTTAAATCATCATAACTTGTTGGACCTTTCTTCACAGTCAACAACATCCTCATATAATACAATTCTCCAGTTGTTGGTGGGACCCAAATTAGTCGACCAATTGTGTAACCTCTTTTACGCAGTTTCCAACACCTTTTCTTCTTTTCATAAACAAACTTAGACACAAATTGACCATATGTTAATAACTTTGCTTCTTCATACTGAGTATTTGCCACAAACCAAGAAGTAAACATTGATTCTGTGACACTTGGTTTAAGAAGGAGTGTTCCAATTTGTTCAAAATCTTTGTAGTATACAGAATTCTCTCCTTCCATGTGAAAAAATAACCTTTCAACAGCTGGTTTCCTGCCATGAATTGAATAAGAGAAGATTCTCCAGCATGCTTCGCTTGGTGAGACATATCGACAATCAAGGTATTGTTTGATTTCATCAATATTTCCATCGATTCCAGTGTTGTTTGGAACAATAACAGCCGAGATCCTATCAGAACCCTTGTTGATGTACTTGAAGAGATATTTAATTGAAGTACTTTGATTGCACCACTCCATATTAATGTGTGCCTCATATTTCATCAGCAAACTTGGATTGTGGGGTACAACGTGACCACTATGTAGGGTGACTCCATTCTTTTCAATTGTATTACCCAGATCTCTCCTTCTATAAACAGGATATCCATCTTGATCAACAATTGTGACATCTTGGAACTTTTTAGGATAATACTTGGAACACTTACCATCTTTCATACAAGGACATCTAGGATTTGCTAACCCACAGGGACCATGCACCATGTGAGTTTTGACCAGATTATACAGTCTTGGTTGACTCAAAGGATCAGGAACTTCAGCAGAAATGATTTTGTCTATATCTTCAGAAGTAGGATATTTATTTGATGGATGCAAGAAGATAAGAATGTGCGCATGCGGAAGACCTCTCTTTTGGAACTCAATTGTGTACATATCTGAAAATAAGAACAATTGTAAGATAAAATGTTGTAACATGTCATGTCTAGCTTGAAATGCCTAGATAATTTTAAAGGATAGTAAGTTAAAGCAATTGATATGACATAATAAACTTACATGCAAGAACTTTGCCTAAGACTCCTTTTTTGGTCACATCTGCTAGAAGGTTATCAAACTTCATCTTAAAAACTCTTGCAATAACATCAGGTCTATCTTGTGGCTTCAAATTTAGAGGACCAAGCAATCTTTGAATTTCCGGCCAATTTGGGTTGCATGTGAAAGTAATGAAAAGATCCGGAAATCCCACCTTACTACAAATAGCCATGCCATCATAATACAATTGATCCATAAATCTCCTACTTCCAACATAAGATGATGGTAAAACGACTCTTTTCCCTATGCTTGAGCCTTGTGTTTGATCTTTCTCTGAATGTAGACTTGTATACTTTGACACTCTTAGCTTGGATTGATTTTTTCTGATCCAATTCAATCTCTCTCCTTCAAGCATTGTGTAACCATCCACCAAAAACTGTTGGAACAATCTCCTAGATGATAACAAAGTTTTTGCCTCATTACACCTACTTTGTATTCTAAATGCTAGCCATTCTCGAATAGTAAGTCGGTTCCTTTGAGAGTCATCAAAAATATCAAGATCTCTATGTGCAATGTTATCTCTATAACCATCCTCTCCATAAGGAAAAATCAAAGGATACTGGAATGCCAAATAACTTGGATGAAACTCATCAATACGTTGCAGTTGTCCACCTTTGGCCTGCACTATAATGTCTCTTTCCTCAGCAGTGTCTATGTCACCAACGATTAAAGCAGCCACTTCTGAAACAGTTGGTTGATTATACAATCTTCCATCAGTAGATCTTGTGGATATTAATTTGAGTTTCAAGTTATGAACATTGCTTTGATTAAGCCATTGTCTAGCCATTAAGAAACTTT